AGAAATAGGGCAGGGGAAGACAAATATGCCCCAATTCCAAGAGAAGAATGAGGAAGGGAAGAAAACACTGAAACCTCACAATGGTTTTTTTCTCAAATGATACTCAGGCAATCTCAAAGTGGTGGCTTATGAAACAAGAGAACTCCAAGAATTATTTTTCAGATGTTCCGATTTTCACAGAGCTATGGTTATTTCCTAAGCCACGTGTGTCACAGAGCAAGCCTCCTTACCAATTAGGTCAGCCAGCCAGTTGCCCACAATTATACTAGGCATTTTCCCAAGGCCATATTCTGAGTCAGAAAGGAAAGAGCTCTCTGATATGCCATGGAAAAATGTTATGATCTCATGAAATACAGTTATACATGTGGACTGACACACTTTCAAACATCATAGATAGATATGTAGGTAGCGTGGAAGGAGACAGGCAGATAGGTGAATAGCTCCTCTCTAGGGAACACAGAAGCACAGGCCTAGGTCAGGATTCAAAATCTATTTACCCATTTTTCTCTAGGGTGAATCATACTTTCCCATACCCAGAGGGCATGTTTCTATGGCTGGAGAAAAAAGGAATGAGATCGCCTGAACGAGACAGTGCATAGGTGATGTGTCTATACATAGACTAACCTTCGTTCATTGCAAACTGCCTTCTCCTCAAAAGTATTCCTAGAATACAGGGTTGAAACATGGCATACGTATTTTTAAAAACTGGTGCCCTAGGGACCAGCAGATAGTGTAATGGCTATGTTGCTGGACTCCCATGCAGTCAACCATGGTTTGAGTCCTGGACCCGGTGGCTTAAACTCATGCCGGGTGCATGTGCGTGTGTGCCCAAGATCCCGAGAGAAGAATGGAGAAGGGATTGTGGCATGGTCACTCCCTGGGGGTTGATTTCTCACTTTCTGTCTCTCTGTCTTTCTGTGTTTCTGGCAAATGCATGCACCTATAGAAAAAAACCTCTCAAAAAAAAAAAAAAATTGGTGCCCTAAGCCAGACACTAAAAAATATGTATTTCATGGTTTTGCTTATAAAATCCACAAAACAAATTGACAAAATTGATTTATGCCATCAGGTGAGTTGTTACCTATGTGAGAGACAGCACTAGCGGCGTGGCATAAGAGGGACACAAGGGTCATGTCCTAGTGACCTTGTGTAGGTCAAGCTGCTGCCTATACAAGAGGACTCCTGTTGCGAAGATTCCATAAGGTGGACACACGCACCATACTGCACGTATGCTATGTCTCAACAGAAAGTACTTTTTTTTTTTTGGACACACGCACCATACTGCACATATGTATGCTATGTCTCAACAGAAAGTACTTCTTGGTTTTTTTTTTTTGAGAGATTTTTCGCTATAGGGCGCGTGCACTCGCCAGACAGAAAGAGACATAAAGACAGAAAGCGAGAAATCACCCCCCAGGGGGGATGGTCACACTGCAATCCCTTCTCCTCCATTCTCCTCTCGGGATCTTGGGCACGCACACACACGTGCCTGGCGTGAGTTTTAAGCCACTGGACCCGGGATGTGAACCGCGGTCGACTATGTGGGAGTCCAGGGACACAGCCATTACGTTAACTGCTGGTTCCCTCAACAGAAAGTACTTTTTAGGACCAACTCATGGTGTAGTGGCTAAAGTGGCTGGATCCCACACAGCCAAATAAGTCCTAGACCTCGTGGCTTTAAAACATGCTGGGTGCATGTGCGCACATGCCCAAAATCCAAAAAAAAAAGGGAAATAGAGAAGGAACTGCAACATGATCGTGCCCTTTTCCTCTCTCTCTGCCACTCTCTGGTGTGCACACGCACCTTCTGGCCCAAAAAAAAAGGACTTCTTAAATCTAGCTTTTAATAACTTGTGGTTGATTACTAATTTGTGTTTATCTCTACTTGAGACATTATTCAGAAATTATTCAGAGTCTTGGAATGTTCCCCAGCCAATTTGTAGGGCAATAAATATTAATTAATTACTTCTACGAACTTTATTAGTCTTTCCTAATGCATCATCAATAAAATAACACCTCCAGGAAGTTCTATAAAGCCACTGTTTAAATTGGTTATTGGAAAAAAAAATTATATGTACAGAAGTGCAATTTAGGGGACCAGCAGTTAGCGTAATGGCTATGTTGCTGGACCCCCATGTAGTCGACCACGGTTCGAGTCCCGGATCCGGCAGCTTAAACTCACGCCAGGCGCGTGTGCATGCATGCCCAAGATCCCAAGAGGAGAATGGAGGAGAAGGGATTGCAGCATGGCCATCCCCCCAGGAGGTGAGTTCTCGTTTTCTATCTCTCTGTCTCTCTCTGTCTGGCGAGCGCACGCACCCTATAGAGAAAAACCTCTCCAAAAAAAAAAAGTGTAATTTAGCAAACCTCCTTAGTCACACTGCCTTTATACATGGGACAGTGCAAGAAAATTGTTCTGTGCATGATTTTCTTAAATATATTTTTAAATCCTTCTTAAAGGTTATACAAATAACTATCAACCAAAGTCCAATGATAGCTATACTTTTTCTATCACTAGACTGGTAAGCCCAAATCAATTTTCTTTTCTTTGTTCAACTTGAAATGGTAAATAAAAATGATAGTGATAAGAGAAAGAAATAATAGTGGTAAGAGAAAGAAATCCCCAGTTATGTGGTTAAGGGAGCTGAATCCCACATAACTGACCACAGATCAAATTCTAGCAACGGAGGCTTGAAAAACACCTAGTGCGTGTGCATGCATGCCCAAAATTCCAACAGGATGGAGAAATGGAGGAAAAGCAATTATGGTATGAATGTGCCCCACAGGGGTCTTCTTTCTCCCTTTCTCTGTCTCTCCATCCCTGTGAGCACACATGTCCTCTGATAATTAAAAAGCAGAGAGAGATTCCATAACAGAGGAATGTGAGGGGACGTAAATCTCATGCAACCTAAGAGTTCCCAGAACTTTTTGTCCATACTGTTGACTAGCCTCTTGCCCACCGAATTTAAGCACACGTCACCATTTTCTTCCCTGCAAAAAGAGGGCTACGAAAGTAATACATATTACCAAAAGGACCAGACCAAGATCCACTCCATAAGTCTCTTACATAAGCATCCTTTTGGAAAACTTAAATTACATGTTATGAACATGTTTTCAATTTACATGTTGAAAAGTTAGAATGCTTGAGTCGTCAAATGTTTAAATAATTTAAAATAAGGGAGTGGGCAAGCCTGTAGCACAGTAGGTTAAAGCCTCTTTACGGGGAGCTAGATCTCATATGGCTGACTGTGATTCAAATCCTGGCACTGGCAACTCAGAAAAACGTCCCAAGAGCAGGGCCAGCAGGTGGCATGGTAGTTAAGGCACTGGGCTCCCACATGATAAACCATAGTTTGAATCCTAGACTCATGGCTTGAAAAATCACACTAGATGTATATGTGTGCATGCCCAGAATCCCAAGAATAGAATGGAAAAAAAGGGATTGCAAGTGGCCTCAGAGAGGGGGAGGGGGGATTCTTAACCTCTCTCCAGGGAGTTCAATTTTACATCACTCTAGTTTAGCCTGAGAAAAATGGGATCCTCCTCTGGAAAGAGGAGGTGAGCAGAAATGTTCCTGGACCACAAATGATTTTTTTATAGTTTGCTTTATAGCAAACTAAAAAAACTTAAATTTTACAGTATTACTTGACAAATACAGACTAATACTCTACCAAAAAAATAAAATTATCTTTTAAAAAGTTCAAGTAAGGGACCAGCAGATGGTGCAGCAGTAACATCAAGTAAGAGACTCCCACATGGGAGTCCCAACCATAGTTCAAGTCCTGGACCCAGTGACTTGAAACTCACACCAGGCCCGAGTGCATTGTGCCCAAGACCCCAAGAGGTGAATGGAGAAGAGACTGAGGTATGGCTATCCCCGCTGGAGGGTGATTTCTCACTTTCTTTTTCACCATCTGTCTCCTCTGGAGAGCGCATGTGTCCTAAGGCACTTTTAAAAAGTTCAAGTAAGGGACCAGCAGATGGTGCAGCAGTAACATCAAGTAAGAGACTCCCACATGGGAGTCCCAACCATAGTTCAAGTCCTGGACCCAGTGACTTGAAACTCACACCAGGCCCGAGTGCATTGTGCCCAAGACCCCAAGAGGTGAATGGAGAAGAGACTGAGGTATGGCTATCCCCGCTGGAGGGTGATTTCTCACTTTCTCTCTCTGTCTCTGTCTCCTCTGGAGAGCGCATGTGTCCTAAGGCAAAAACCTCTAAAAAAGTTTTTTTTTGAAGTACAATGTTTACGTCTTTGAATATAACTTGTCTTCTTGCCAGGTAATGTTCCAGCTCTGCATTCAGAACAAATATATTATTATAAACAATTTCACCAAAGTCCATGGGCTTTAGAATGACCTGTTCTTGTACAAGTCACTTATACTATTTGAATCTCAGTCTCTTTACCCATCACATGGGAAAAGTAATACCAATGGTAGTAGATAATACTGAGGTTTTAGATGTTATTTGCAAAAAGGCCTAACAATTTCTTACACATCAGTAGTAATTACTCTGAAGCAGGAGGAATAAGAGATGTTATCAAAAATTTTATCCAAAGCAGGAAAAATTTTAAGGGAAAAATTCCATCCTCTGTACTACATTTCCCTCTTCATAGCATTCCTACAACTCGCCTTCTGTTCTAATCAAAGTGCTCCTCCCAGCGCGGCAGAAATCAGAAGTCGACAGTTTGATTTCCTTCACCTCCATATCTTCTTCCAGCCCTTCCATTCACCTCCAAGTCTATACCAGTGGTTCATGCAAAGACAGTAATAAACTGAGGTTTGAAAAGCCCAACTCTAAGAGAATTTTACATCACTCCAGTTTAGCCTGAGGAAAGTGGGACCCTCCTCTAGAAAGAGGAGGTGAGCAGAAATGTTCCTGGATCACAAATGATTTTTTTTTCACCACCAGTGGGAAGAATTTCAGAAACTGTATTTTGCTTTGCTTACTTCATTCCCTTCTTTCAAGTAAGATAAGTGACATCTGAGAACAAGGCTTACCTGTTTGCACCATTTCTTCATTACCAGCCTGGAAAGGAGGGGGAAAGTAAGAAAAAGAAACAGTTACTGGGTTTCGTCTTATCACCTGGTGCATTTTATTTCCACCCTTAATGCTTTTCAGGAGTGGCTGTTCAGGAGGCGCTGGAGCCCGGGATCCATGCCTTGAAGGTTGCACCTCCGTTTGCAGAAGTGCTTGTGACAGGAGCATGAGTCTATTCCGGAACAATTTGGGAAAGGAGTTGTTTGCCAGTTTTAATTTTAGTGTAACATGTATGAAGCCAACAAAAATAAATACTGACACTCAATAGTGTCTTCTGAAAACTCCCGTACTGGCCAGGATTAGAAAAAGAAAGTCTCTGATGGAACAGGCAAAAAAAGAAGCCTAGAGTGTATTCTGGATGGAAAATCTGTTTGTATGCTATCATGATGTATAGTAAATAAATAAAAGAATGTAAATAAATAAATTTAAATAATAAAAAAAAATTTTTTAAGGGAGGGGTGCCTGATGCATTGGATTTGAGGTCAGGAATCAACTATATCATTTTCTACTTTTTAACCCTACAGTCAGCCCAAGCACACCAGAGAAGCTACAAAAACTCAGAGAAATTCTGTACCCGAAGTCCCACCAGCCCTGTGCTGGCATGATTTACTACAAACAGCTCCCCGGGCTGAGCCTTCTCAAGGACTCCAGTGAGAGCATCGGGCTTCACCTTGAGTCTCCAAAGAATGGGGGCAGGGCCGAAAAGAAACGCGGCGGCCCTCAACTTAGCTTTAAAAAGAGGAGGAGTTGTGCAGAGGGGGAGGGGAGAAGGCGGCCGGCGCCTGCAGCCTCTGCCCAGGAAAACGCGAGGCAGGAAACGTCCCCAGCCCCCCTCCCCCACTGTCACACCCTAGACGCGC